TTTAACTGTACATTTCTGTGGCAGTTAAGTGTATTCCCATTGTTCTACAACCATATAGTCTCCTACAATCTCTAGAACTTCCAATCTTGGGAACTTTTTCATCTTACTAAATCAAAACTATATCCATTAAACAGTAACTCTCCACTTCCTTTCTCCCCTCAGCTCCTGATTACTACCATTCTACTTTGTCTCTATGAATGTGACTACTATTCTAGGTACCTCACAGAAGTGGAACGATACAATGTTTGTCCTCCCTGACACTTAGTATAATGTCTCCAAGGTTCATCAATGTTGCAGCATGTGTCAGAGTTTCCCTTCTTTTTTTTTTTTGAGACTTTTTTTTTGAGTTTTGCTCTTGTTGCCCAGGGTGGTGTGCAATGGCGCAACTTTGGCTCACTGCAGCCTCCGCCTCCTGGGTTCAAGCAATTCTCCTGTTTCAGCCTCCCGAGTAGCTGGGATTACAGATGCATATACCACCAAGCCCAGCTAATTTTTGTGTTTTTAGTAGAGACAGGGTTTCATCATATTGGTCAGGCTGGTCTCGAACTCCTGACCTCAGGTGATCTACTGTCTTGGCCTCCCAAAGTGTTGGGATTAAAGATGAGAGTCACTGTGCCCGGCCTATGTCTTTCTTTATATCTCTTTCCCCTACTTACTGGTTTCTTTTTTCTTTTTTGAGACAAGGTTTGTTGCCCAAACTGGAGTATAGTGATACAATCATAGCTCACTGCAGCCTCAACCTCCCAGGCTCAAGCAATCCTCTCACCTCAGCCTCATGAGTAACTGGGTCCACAGACGTGTGCCACCATGCCCTGCTCATTTTTTTTTTTTTTTTTTTTTAAGAGATGGGCCCTCCCTGTGTTGCCCAGACTGGTCTCAAAGTCCTGTGCTCAACTGATCCTCCGCCTTGGCCTCCCAAAGTACTGGGATTACATGTGTGAACCATTGCATCTGGCCCAGTTGCTTATTTTAAATTTCTCTTTAAATAACACCCAAATTGGCCAAAAGAAAAAATTTAATAAGAGCACCATCTTTTGGCATATTTTATATACAGAATTGCATATTACCTTAAATTCTTAACAAACCTAAATTTTGGTGAAAATCTAGGAATCAAGAAATCCTGCCCCAGTTTTGTTTTTTTTTGTTTGTTTGCTTTTTTATTTTTTTTTTTTGAGACAGAGTTTTGCTCTGTCACCCAGGCTGGAGTGTAATGGCGCGATCTCAGCTCACTACAACCTCCGCCTCCTAGGTTCAAGCAATTCTCCTGCCTCAGCCTCCTGAGCAGCTGGGATTACAGGTGCCCACCACCACACCCAGCTAATTTTTATATTTTTTAGTAGAGACAGGATTTCGCCATGTTATCCAGGCTGGTCTTGAACTCCTGACAGCAGGTGATCCACCTGCCTCAGCCTCCCAAAGCGCTGGGATTACAGGCGTGAGCTGCTGTGCCCAGCCCCTTCTTTTTTTTTTGAGACGGAGTCTCGCTTTGTCACCTAGGCTGGAGTGCAGTGGCATGATCTCGGCTCACTGCAAGCTCTGCCTCCTGGGTTCACACCATTCTCCTACCTCAGCCTCCCAAGTAGCTAGGACTACAGGCATCTGCCACTACACCTGGCTAAATTTTTTGTATTTTTAGTAGAGACAGGGTTTTACCGTGTTAGCCAGGATGGTCTTGATCTCCTGACCTGATGATCCGCCCACCTCGGGCTCCCAAGGTGTTGGGATTACAAGCATGAGCCACCGCGCCAGGCCCCCTTCTATTTTAAGGCTGCATAATATCCCATTGTATATACAGAGCACATTTTAAAAAAACCTTTTCATCCATGGAGGGACACTTGGGTTGTTTCTACCTCTTGGCTATTGTGAATATGAATATGGAAATATCTGTTTAAGCCTACTCTCAATACTACTGGGTATATACCTAGAAGTGAAATTGCTAGATCATATAGTACATAATTCTATGTTTAATTTTTTGAGAAAAGAACTTGATTTTTTTTTTTGAGACAGGGTCTCATTCTGTCACCCAGGCTGGAGTGCAGTGGCGTGATCATGGCTCACTGAAGCCTTGACTTCCCCAGGCTCAGGTGATCCTCCCACCTCAGCCTCCCAAGTCGCTAGGACTACAGGTGTGAGCCAGCATGCCTGGTTATCTTTTTATATATATATTTTTTGTAGAGACAGGGTTTTACCATGTTGCCCAGGCTGGTCTCAAACTCCTGGGCTCAAGTGATCCACCTGCCTTGAGCTCCCAAAGTTCTGGGATTACAGGCATGAGCCACCGTGCCCGGCCTGGCTGACGGACATTTATGGTGTTTCCACTTTTTGGGTAGTATAAACAATGCTTCTATGAACATTTGTGTACAAGTGTTTATGTGAACATATGTTTTCATTTCTCTTGGGTATATATCTTCGAGTGGAATTGCTGTGTCATACATTAACTGTATGCTTAGCCTTTTGAAGAAGTGCCAGATGTTTTCCACAGTGGCTGTACCAATTTACACCTTTACTGACAGCATATGAGGTTTCCAACTTTTCCACATCCTCTTCAACACTTGTTATCTTTTTTATTATAGCCATCCTAGTGGGCAGTGGGTATAAAGTGTTATGGTAGTATCCCTGATGGCTAATGATGTTGAATATCTTTTCATATGTTTATGGGCCATCCAATTAGTTTTAATAGAAGCAACCACATCAAACTTTGCTTACGTATAATTTATGTAAAATACCTTACTGTGTTATATGTAAGAGTCAAGCAGAAGTTTACTTTTATCACTTTTGATTTTTTAAAAACAGAAACAGGGTTCCCCTATGTTGCCCAGGCTAGTCTTGAACTCCTGGGGTCAAGGGATCCTCCTGCCTTAGCCTTCCAAAAGTGCTAGGATCATAAGCGTCAGCCACCATGCCCTGCCTGATAAGTTTACTTTTAAAAAACAACCCCTTGAGGCCAGGTGTGGTATCTCACACCTGTAATCCCAACACTTTGGGAAGCTGAGATGAGTGGCACATGTGAACCCAGGAGTTCTAGACCAACCTGGGCAATACAGCAAAACCCCATTGCTACAAAAAGTACAAAAATTACCCAGGCAAGGGCCAGGTGCGGTGGCTCACGCCTGTAATCTCAGCACTTTGGGAGGCTGAGGCAGGTGGATCACTGGGGGTCAGGAGTTCGAGACCAGCCTGGCCAACATGGTGAAACCCTGTCTCTACTAAAAATACAAACAAACAAA